ATATCACCAACCATTCCCATTTTATTACGGTGTATCCATATAAATGGCCTACCCTGTACATTTAACCTTCTGCAGCTTATTGTGGGACCATCAATAGTCCTGCATAGTGTAAATGACTGTTTAACTTTGGGTGGTAAATCACAAACACTAGTCTGGAGTTTCCTTCTGCTCGGGCATGGCCTGCAAACCAGGTTCTCTTATGGATGACAAAAGTATTCTAAGTCTTCATCAAATTCTTTCTCAAATTCTTCAGGATCTATGGGAAACCTGCAGAACTTAGATCTGACACAAGCAGGGTATCTTTAAAAAGTGACAAGTCTAAAGATTGCCTTATTTATTTTAAAGGACAAAAATCATCTCCTGCAGAAAGGTGAGCTGTTACTAACACTGACGCTATTTTAGCCATCAGTTTGGTGTTTGACTTAAATTAACTGGAATACTAAGGTATTAAGGAATTCCTTTATTATATAATATATACACAGATGTATATTTAAACGTCTGCAGCTTATTGTAGGACCATCCATAGTCCTGCATAGTGTAAATGGCTCAGGGTCACATCATGAGGACCACGAAATACCTAATTACCATTTAAATCCAAATCATATTTACCTCACTGATTGCACCTTAAACTAAAGTTGATTCACATTCTTTGAAATCTAGATTTACAGAAAACAACGGCAGATTATTGTGCAACAGCTCTTTATGTTGAAGAATGTACGTATCCATTCAGACACAATGAAGTCAGGCACTCATTTTACCTGGAAATACCAAGATTACATCATCACCAGTGTTCACAATCTGATAGTGAAAACAGGACAATAGTAGAAGAGAAGGATCTTAACACTATCAAAGGAGATTTTGAAAGAATCTCAAACAGTTACTGAATCCTCTGAATGTGTGAATATTTTTGAAATTATTAGAATATAAGAAATAAGAAATATCAAATGAAAGGAGGATCTGCTGTGAAAATATAATATTGTTGTCATTGTCCCTGATAGACAATAAATTGATGCAGTCTATTAAGTGTATGGAAAATCCATTGATACTGATGCTGGTTGGTTTTAGAAAGAAAACATTCTGAATAAAAAAAAAAACCAAAACAAAAAAGTGACTGCATTAAATTTGCACACATATGCTAGAGTTATTTGACAAACATAATAGAAGGTGTCAGGTTGAATTTACACAATGATTTTTCATGGAATTAACACATAACTGTTTATCAGATGTACAATGTTGAAAAAATGCTAAGCTGAGTAGCTGAGTATCAATGAGATCGGCAAGAGTGGCAAACTTTTACAACTACATGGAGTCATATATAATCTAAACACCTTAGTTTTTTTTTCTTCAGATGTCACTTACGTTGTCTTTTCCCTGTGCATGAACTAATATTCACGAGTCCTCCACAGACTGGACCAGGAAAATTCAGAGGTTTCTAGTGGTCATTTTGTACAGCAGGATCAAAAACAGCTGGACTCCATATTCATGGTACGTACATACAGTATATAACAACCACTCTTACATCTATTATGTTCATTCATCTCTATGTTGCTCTTTGTAGACCAGTGGAAGGACATGATGTCAGCACTATTTTGTCATTGACATAATATTCATATAATATTTTGTTCCAGCTGTTAGAGGACAACATCATCATGTTTGTAAAGAATGAACTAAAGAAGATGCACGAGATTTTGAGTCCAGATTATTTAGAGATGGAAGAAGATGATATGTCGAAGGATGACAATAAAAAGCAGAAGAGTAAAAGCAGAGAGGCATTTGTGACAATTGTGTTACACCTTTTGAAGAGAATAAAGCAGGAAGAGCTGGCTGACTGTCTGCAGAGCAGTAAGGGGATTTCTCAAAACATTTAAGCTGCAGCACGTGTTTAAATTTTTAAAATATCTCAAGACTTACTGAATTGAAATTTTGGGATATTTTCTGAAAACCAAATTAATGTAATGTATTTATTTTTGTGTTTTCAGAAATGTTTGCTCCACTTTGTCAATGTAAACTTAAATCTACTTTGAATTAAAAGTTCCAGTGTGTGTTTGAGGGGATCACTAAAGCAGGAAACTCAACACTTCTGAATCAGATCTACACAGAGCTCTACATCACAGAGGGAGGGACTGCAGAGGTCAATGATGAACATGAAGTCAGACAGATTGAAACAACATCCAGGAAAGCAGACAAACCAAACACAACAATCAGACTAGACAACATCTTTAAAACTTCACCTGAAATAGATGAACCGATCAGAACAGTGCTGACAAAGGGAGTGGCTGGCATTGGGAAAACAGTCCTAACACAGAAGTTCACTCTTGACTGGGCTGAAGAAAAATCCAACCAGGACATCCAGTTCATATTTCCATTTACTTTCAAGGAGTTGAATGTGCTGAAAGAGGAAAAGTTCAGCTTGGTGGAACTTGTTCATCACTTCTTTATTGAAACCAAACAAGCAGGAATCTGCAGCTTTGAAGACTTCCAGGTTGTGTTCATCTTTGATGGTCTGGATGAATGTCGACTTCCTCTGGACTTCCACAAAATAAAAATACTAACTGACTCCAGAAAATCCACCTCAGTGGATGTGCTGCTGACAAACCTCATCAGGGGGAACCTGCTTCCCTCTGCTCACATCTGGATAACCACGCGACCTGCAGCTGCCAATCAGATCCCTCCTGAGTGTGTTGACATGGTGACAGAGGTCAGAGGGTTCACTGACCCACAGAAGGAGGAGTACTTCAGGAAGAGATTCAGAGACAAGAAGCAGGCTTCGAGGATCATCCCTCACATCAAAACATCACAAAGCCTCCACATCATGTGCCACATCCCAATCTTCTGCTGGATCAATGCTACGGTTCTGGAGGATGTGCTGAAAACAAAAGAACAGAGAGACATGCCCAAAACCTTGACTGAGTTGTACATCCACTTCCTGGTGGTTCAGGCCAAAGTGAAGAAGGTCAAGTATGATGGAGGATCTGAGACAGATCCACACTGGAGTCCAGAGAGCAGGAAGATGGTTGAGTGTCTGGGAAAACTGGCTTTTGATCAGCTGCAGAAAGGAAACCTGATCTTCTATGAATCAGACCTGACAGAGTGTGGCATCGATATCACAGCAGCCTCAGTGTACTCAGGAGTGTTCACAGAGATCTTTAAAGAGGAGAGAGGACTGTACCAGGACAAGGTGTTCTGCTTTGTCCATCTGAGCATTCAGGAGTTTTTAGCTGCTCTTCATGTTCACCTGACGTTCTACAACTTCTGTGTCAATCTGCTAGAAGGAGAAACCTCTGCATGGTCTAAAGCACTTAATAAACTCAAACTCCAAAACTGTGGTGGACAATTTCTTCACAAGAGTGCTGTGGACAAGGCCTTAGAGAGTCCAAATGGACACCTGGATTTGTTCCTTCGTTTCCTCCTGGGTCTTTCACTGCAGTCCAATCAAGCCCTTCTACGAGGTCTACTGACACAGACAGGAATGAGCTCAGAGACCAATCAACAGACAGTCCAGTACATCAAGAAAAAGATCAGTGAGAATCTGTCTGTAGAGCAAAGCATCAACCTGTTCCACTGTCTGAATGAACTACATGATCGTGCTCTAGTTGGGGAGCTCCAACAGTCCCTGAGTATGGGAAGTCTTTCCACAGAGAAACTATCTCCTGCTCAGTGGTCAGCTCTGGTCTTCATCTTATTAACATAAGAAAAAGATCTGGATGTTCTTGATCTGAAGAAATATTCTGCTTCAGAGGATGCTCTTCTGAGGCTGCTGCCTGCGCTCAAAGTGTCTAAGAAAGCTCTGTATGTTACCATAAAGTTTTTAAGATCTATTCACAAGGAAGATAAAGACTGAATTTGCTGCTTTGTGTGTATTTTCTCTTAGGCTGAATAACTGTAACTTGACAGAGAGAAGCTGTGAAGCTCTTTCTCTGTCTCTCAAAGTAGAAGGCTGTTAGCTGAGAACTCTGGACCTGAGCAATAACAATCTGCAGGATTCAGGCGTAAATCTGTTGATAGCTGGAATGGAGAGCATGCACTGTAAATTAGAGAAACTCAGGTCAGATACATTGTTTGTGGTTTAATGTGAGAGCTGTTTGCTAATTTGAACCTTCATTGAATGTAAACAATAACATGCACTCCTGAATTTCTCAAAGCATTTAAAGTTTTCCAGTTTCATATTAAGATTTATACATTTATTTAGTACTTTGTGGAAAACTTTGGAATTGTCTAAATTAGCAATTTTTTTTAACAATTTGTTTATCTTCAATAAGTATCAAGAATCTTTTTTAGGCTTTAGCAGGTGTAGGGATTATATGTTATATATATATCATGTGTGATTAAAAGTTTAAATTAAACATTTTAAAAATGCTTTTTTTCCCTTCTAAATTACTGTCTCTTCAGACTGAGCACTTGTAACCTTTCAGAGAAAATCTGTGGAACTATGTCGTCAGTTCTCAGTCTCCAGTTCTCTAGTCTGAGAGAGATGGACCTGAAGAACAACAACCTGAGGGATACTGGAGTAAAAGCTTTGTCGGCTGGACTAAGAAGTCCACACTGTAAATTGGAAACACTCAGGTCAGAAATCATCAATTGTTTAGTTGATGAACATTTTGAAATTTGGATTGCATAAGTAACCCAAGCCGGGGTTAGTTACTTATGCAAGTTTGAGGGGTTTTCTTTAACATTTCCAATTTTTTTCTTCTTAAATTTTTGCCTACTGATAAAATGAAGATTTCTCCTTCGTTTTATTTTTGAACTTTGAGTTTTAAATCTGGACTAAATGTTTATGATCAAAAAGTGAAAAACATACAAACGTACAGTTTAGTGGAATGTAATGGTCACTTTCCACTGGAATATTTCAACACAGATATCCTGATTCAGGCTCAGTCATCAAGCTAAGTAAATCCCAAAAGGTTGATTCTGTTCATCTGGATGTAATGATGAACAGAATCAACCTTGGATTTCAACACAGACTAGAAATTAAATTGGTTCGTATTATAACCAGAATGAATTATAATTTCAAAATCAATGTAACTTTTAATTTATGGTTATTATTTCATTAAAATTGTAGTTTGTCCTGTCCTTTTTTTGTGCTAATTATCTGCTGTTCTCTAATAGTATCTGTAATGATTATTATGTGCAGATAACAGAAGAAGGTTGTACTTTTCTGGCCTCAGATCTGAGGTCTAATCCCTCCTGTCTCAGAGAGCTGGACCTGAGCTACAATCATCCAGGGGAGACAGGCATGAATCTGTTGAAGCAGCTGAGACTTGACACTCTCAGGTACAGAGAATGTCTCATAGCATCACACACATTTGAACATGGACAACTTATCAGAAGAAAGAGTATGTGACGCAGGAGCTTTTATTTATTGTAATCAAAAAGTTATGTGTTCAGTTTGTGGAGAGCAGATGGCTGTGTTAAGACTAGATTTTTGATTTTCAACATAATCACAAAAACACAGTAAGCCATTCTCTGATGGGGAATTTAACACAGTGTTTAGTAGGTTCTGCCACGATAATACGCCCTGAGCTGGTATGTGTTCTGAGCCCCGCATGATGAGAGCAATTCCAAAACAGTTTAGAATGAAATGCACATGATTTCATTTCCCTTAACTTGCATTATAGGGAAATGCTCCAATGATGTTCAGATTGAACTATTTGATATGCAGTCTGATTCAATACTGTCAGTCTGATTCAACTAGTATCACTGCTGGGATGGTATTTTTCTCTCAAAGAGGAGAACCTTCCACATATAGGTAGACCTGCTCAGAAGATGTTGGTTCTCTATGGATCTACATTTATATGTCAACAAACAAACACAGGAATGAAATTTAACAAATCCAAGTACAGATTCTCTGTCAGTGATGATCACCTGTCTGCTGTCCTTCACATTTCCACCTCAGATATTGGACCTGACTTGAATGGACAAACAAACTAGACTTCTCTCACTGAAAAAGAAAAAGGAACCAAAAAACTGAACAAAATAACTAAAGTAATTAGTTTAATTGCTTAGTAATTAGTAAAATTAAACTCCATTGAAATTGTGTAAAAACATGCATGTTTCATTCTCACTGATTTGGGAGTATTGATGAAATAGCTTTTAGTATGCTGTGACTTAAGATGACTGTAGCTCAGGAGGTAGCACAGGCCAACTACTGATAAGAAGAGTAGGTATTTTGATCCCCGGCTGCTCCTGTCTGCGTGCTTTCAATCTTTTTGTTGGACTACACTGTTTTTTTGGTTTGTTTTTTTTACATGTAGCTGTAAGGTTTGGTTCTCTGCGCACCTGTGGAGGCATACAAGTGCACCGGTGAACCCCCTTTAACCTTAGCTTCATTGTCTTTTTAATTAGGAAGTCTTCTGTGAAAAGAAATGTTTTTTAAACTACATAACTGTGTGATGTTTACGTTAATGAATCATCATTTTGACAAATAGAGATGACAATGATGATCCACATAATTTTAATTATAAATTCTGCTATAATAAACAGACTAACTAGATCATGACAACCACTGGACAAGATTTCAGAAGCATTTTCTTCAAATGTATTTGTGAAAATGTTGGACTGTTCCTTTATTAGTGTCTAACAGCATGTGTATGAGAGCGATGTAATGTCCATGTGTGCATGCTGAAAGAGACTGTGCTGGTCTGACCCCCCTCCTCCTTTCAGGGTGGAGCCTGCTGGAGTCCGATGGCTGAAACCAGGAAGTCTGAGGAAGTGTAAGTGTGTTTTTAATGTGATTCATGAAAACAAAGCAGCACACATTCAACCATCTTCAAACTGTCACATCACTCATTCACATCTCTGATGTCAGGATTCATCGTCAAAGTGTCAATCAATGAACAGATGATGGATCAATAATTGCAGCTGTATTGTGTTTGTTCTCTCCATCAGATTCCTGTCAACTCACAATCAACGCAAACGCAGTAAACAGAAAACTCAAACTGTCTGACAACATGAAGGTGAGACAAGCAAAGGAAGTTCAATCATATCCTGATCATCCAGACAGATTTGAACGGCCTCAGCTGCTGTGTAAAGATGGTCTGACTGGCTGTTGTTATTGGGAGGTCGAGTGGAACGGAAAAGTTGAGATATCAGTGAGTTACAGAGGAATCACAAGGAGACGAGACAATGACTGTTTGTTTGGATGGAGTGATCAGTCCTGGAGTCTGAGCTGCTGTGATGATGGCCGCTACTCTGCCTGGCGCAATAAGAAATCAACATCTGTCTCTGCCTCCTCCTCCTCCTCCTCTGTCTCTAACAGAGTAGCAGTGTATGTGGACTGTCCTGCTGGCACTCTGTCCTTCTACAGAGTCTCCTCTGACACTCTGATCCACCTCCACACCTTCAACACCACATTCACTGAACCTCTTTATCCTGGGTTTGGAATCTGGTCCTCTGGTTCCTCAGTGACTCTGTGTGTAGTTTAGCATAATAGTCTCCTAACAGATAGTTTAGTCTGTACATGTCGGTCTCTTTCATTTTGAAATATGTTTTCAGATTTATGGATTCAGCTGATGTTTTAAACTGTTCTAAATGATTTTTTGTAAACTTCTTTCATGGCTTTGTAAGTTTGTTGAGCAGTCAGGGTTCATCTTGATATCTATTCTTACTTTTGCTCGTGTGATGAAATCATAACTAGATTTGAACGTGTCTGTGGTCAAATTTGGAGAATTAAATGGTCCTTTAGAACCTAGATAGACAGTTAGTCAGTTACCAATATTGAACATTGTTTTACTCTGTTGTGGTATAGACTCAAATAAAAGAGTGACAAAAACTGTAACTGTGACTGTAAATCATTAATTTACCTGTCCAGATGACCTCTTGTGTTATAATATAAGAAGATGTGCTCTATTTATCCATACCATGTATCTGGTCACATGGTCCAGCTTTACAGAATATTATATCTAAGTTGTGCTCTTCTTTTGGCTCCCTTGCCCTCAAATTTCTCTGTCATCATAACTGGGAGAGGCTCAAATGAGAGGATGAGGTTCAAGTGAAGCATGCAAGGAGACACATTACCAAAAGAAAAAGCAACCGAAGTGTTGATGTTTAACAGAAGTGAATGTAAGTAAAGGTGCAATAATAATGCATTAAGTGAGTAGCGCCCTCCACTGGCAAGAGAGAAGAACTGATCATCAGCACTGGTGAGCTCATGCCATTGTAAAGGATCCTCTGTCAGTCCATCTTGCCACTAGTCGCAAGGCTGTCTACTCCTGCTAAAGTATTGGTCAAATTTTATTGAAACTTGCCCACCCTGATGACCTGATCTGTGTACATTACATACATACACATGTGTATATGTCATTTTGTTTAATTATTGATATTGAAACAGGTCTGAGCAGGTCGGTACAATTACTGGGTTAGGATAGTTGCACTGCATGTGGCAATTAAAAGCAACACACAGTAGCAGTGGCTCATGGTCAAAGTAGTCAATCATTTTACCTGAACCCTTGAATCTCTCCCTTGCTTATTATGTCCCCCCATCTATTTTTTTTACTGCAGTAATTTCACCTTCCTCCATCTCTTCCTCACTCGGTTGTTGGGACTGTTGTCCCTCCTACAGCGTCCTGTGACTGTAAAGCCTGGTGATTAGTCGCTAGTCACTTTTGATGGTGCAGCAGCAGCATCACAGCAGCCCTCGCAGCTAACATGTCGGTTAATCTGACAAATTTTGCTGCAGTTTATTTTTTTTCTCTCTCCTACACATTAAATGCTGTACTATAAGGTGCACGAGCACACAGAAAATGTAGGGGAGGGCCCATTTGCTTTAAGAGATTTGATTGGCTAATCCAATGTCACTAATGGAAAGTCTGGAATTTTAAAATATGTTTACAGGTTGATTTTTCAAAATGAGATTTTTGGAAATTACTGTCACAGTCACATCCGTGAAAACATTTAATTCAACCTAGGTCAAAATAAATACAGTATCACAAAGTAAAACTGCTGAGAAAGTGCTCTTTTAAGTGAAAAACAGGTATGAGTGATTATTTCTCTGTGTGTTACCCTGTGGTAATGTGTTTGGGTGTACACCCAGGATCATATTATGACTTTGACATATTATGACTTTAATTGATATCACTGTTTGTGTCATGGTGTGTGTATGGTTATCAGCAGTCACCTGTACAATTATTAAAGGTTGATTTAAAAACACTTCATGTCATCTACGTTCATTAAACTGACTCCATGCAGTTCATCTTCTCACCGGCAGAGGGACATAACTCAACATCTCACCAGAGTTAAAAGAGACATTGGTGACGTTAGTGCTGTACATACTGATCTGATTAATATGGAACTTCATGTTTCTTTTATTATATCAATGTTAAAAACAGGCTATTTTTTTTTAAATAAAAAGGAACATGTGAGGCTGAATGTCATTAATATTTATTATACATTGGGTGTATAGTAATTGGATGTACAGTAAAACAGTCATATAGCACCGCCCACAATGTAGTTTTCATTATTTGGGAACAAATCAAAGCAAATACCTAAATGTAACCTCACTGTGAAATTTTACTCCTACTGAGACCTTCCCTTCTGAGCAGCTTCCAAAAATGACTCAGTAAGTATGAGCATGTGGATAGACTGGAAGAAAGGTTGGGGGAACTATCATGTGACCTGTCCATTTAGACTCAAACTGATGTGAGCAGTTTATATGTAGGGCAGGTCTGGCACAACAGTGCTGCATGACTTCATTGTACCGATGCAAGTCAGACTATATGTGGGAAAAAATGAATTGTTTGTTCAGTGCTTAATCAAACTGCATGACACTGACAGTCACTTGAGCACAGGGAAGTGTGACACAAACAGACTGACACTCTGGACTATTTCAGTAAGTCTACAAACATACATCAGTGTGACTGTGAAACCACAAAGCATCACATCTGAGGTTTAGGGAAAAAGCTTCCAGTGTTCAATTAAACAAAGAGAAAGCATGGATCCGTTATTGATACCATATCTGACCTGCTGAAGGTTTTCTTTGCCTCACTCTCATTTTGTTCTCTGACTCCTCTGTCATGTGAGCCTGAAGCAGCTGTGACTGTGACTCTTGTTCGGTGATACTTTAACATGCAGACTAGAGGAGGATCCAGGGACTGAACACCAACCACAGCAGCCTCATGATCGTCTTTGACTCATGCATCTGCTGACATGTTTGAAAATGTTGTCCAGATGTGTTGAATTGGCTGAAAACAATAAACTGAATCTTACACTCAAAATGACACATTGTCAGCGAATGTATCTGCACACATTTCCTTCTTAAAATTTGATTAAGGAAACAGCTCAAATTAAACTACAATGTTTTCTTTAATATGCAGTGACACCAGTGTGAATTCAAAGTGTCAGGTTACAATATAAACAGATCATTTTGGAGGTTAAGTTGATTAACAGGAAAGTTGTGCTTTTTTTGTTTTATCTATTTATTTTTAAACAATAAAACTCTGATCAGACATTTCCAGATAATCAAAAACAGATCAGTTCAGTTTTTGGGCAAGTCATGTGTCAGCTCCTTTCTGGGTGTTTTTTTCCTTTTTACAGTTTCACTTCATTTTCCTGAACTTGGGATCACATTACTGCCTCAGTCTGAAGCTCTGTAACACAGTAAGGAATCTTTAATTTTTTTTTTACCTGCAGAAACAGCAAAAATTTGCTTCATAGTTCAAACTAACAGAGAAAAATCTGGAATTGGGAAGATGTGAATAAAGGAAGCTCACCAACAATCCATCTGACATCTTGTGTGTGAGTGTGAACAGAAAGTCAGAATATGAACTCATACTATGGTCAAGATATTAGAGGTATTAACTAATTTATTTTGAAACAGTTACTAAAATGTTATATTCTGTAACTTTCTCCTGTATGTTTCTAGTGCTGTCTTGAAGTACGTTTTTCAGTACTTCCTCATTTCACAGTTACTTCACCTACTTACAAACTCAGTTAATGCGTTCAATATTTATGTTTGAATGCTTAAATGTTCTTAAACGCCAAGTTCTTCCCCACTTTTAACTCTGCTGATCCTCCTTGAATTATGGATCAGCTGAAATGTTTGAAAATGTTCAGACGTGTTGAACTGACTGAATATTAATGGGCTGAAGCTTCCAGTCAGAGTGAATCAGTGTGTCAGTGAATGCATCGTGTGTGCTTCATGGCTCCATCTAGTGGACTGATAGTAGAAGTAGAGCAGCTGATGGCAGCTTCCTCTGCCTCACACTGCTGTCTGACTGCATTCAGCTGACACTGAGAGGAAGCAGAAAAGAAGCAGCTGATATTTGGACAGCACACATGATGGAAACGAGGATTTCAGTTGATGTGCACATGCATGATTTGTGTTTCCTCTGCAGGTGAAGGTAGAAAGTGTGTGTGTGAGCTGATGTGGATGTGAATTCAGCAGCATGGATCAGTGTGAGGACAGAGAGGAGGGAGTCCCTCCCTCTAAAACCACTCTGTGTGGGGAACATGAGAGCCAGACCAAAGCTCAGAGGTGAGATGACCATCTGTAACTGTTCATGACTCTTCTCCATGTCACAGCTCAGCACTCTCATCACTGCTCCATCATTATTCACAGGAACCAACCTGGAGCTGAACCCAGCTGTGTGTCCTTAAAGAGTGATGGATCAAAAGCGAATATTTTAGATTTTCAAAAAGCAGCATCAAATAATGCAGAGTAAGTGCTTCTCATTGTTTAGATTGGACCGAAAAATATCCCAGGGGACAAATTGTAATTCAGTTAAATTAAACTATAATTAATCAATTGAAGAAACTGTTAACTTTTTATTTTTAACTTTTATTTTCTCTTTTTCTGTCGGGCTCCATTGCAGACCAGATTTTTCTGGAGCTGAATCTAGCTGTGTGTCCTTAAAAAGTGACTCGTCAATGTATATCCCTGTAGGTTTTAAGGAAGGACACCATTCGGTTGCAGAAAGGTAATCTGTATCTAAATGTTGGAACTGACTTTATTTATTTAAACCGTTTGACTGAATAGTCTCTGACATGTTTAATGTCAGGTCAGATCTGTTTCACACACATTTCTATATTCATGTTTAAAGTGGTGTGCGATGGAGTTTGTTTCAAAAACACAGCAGTTAAAGTGTAAGGAACAAATGCTGTAGCAGAAGATGGTGGTCAAACTACAATATTCAGTTTAATATTTCAAAGTTCAACAATACTATGTATAATTTAAACAAGTCATAATGAGGAGTTATAAAGTCAGATGGACACATATAGGAATGATTTCCTGTAGCATTCACTGGTGGAATGAGCCTTTTCCTGAATGTGCTTTCCAACATGAAATGAAAAGGATGTGAAAGATTGTCAATCACTCCCATTTGTGTCATCCTTTGTAAAATGCCTGCCAGAGAGTCAAGCTCCACACCCACATTAGTGACCTTGTGGATCAGTTTATTGTCTTTTGCTATCCACTAACCTCCGTCTACAGCCCCACCACACAGCAGAATAGAGACTGGCACTGGCCACAACAGACTCATAGGAAATCCTGAGCATCACCTAGAAAATGTCAAAGGACCTCAGTAATCTCAGAAAATAGAGAGAGCTTTGGCCATTCTTGAAGAGTGTTTCTGTGGGTTTTTTTTTTAAATGAAGTCCAGTTTATTGTCAGTCTGAACATGGCACTTGCCATCTTCCAATGACTGCACACAGACTCCATAGAAATAGTTCTCATTGGTTCTTCTGTTCCTCCTCATGTCCACACCCAGTTATTTAGTCTTTGCATTGAGTTGCAGATGGTTCTGCTCAGATCACATAAGTAAGTTGCCCAGCTTCAAAAACAGTTTTAATGCTGAAGTCTTTTAAACAAAATACAAAAACAACACAGTGCTGGCAACAGGAAAGCAAAAACTCTGAGTCACAGGGAAACCAGAAACCAAAAGAACACACAGCATGATGGGGGGCACAACAAATGAGGGTTTAAAGGTTTAAATACATAAGAGAAGATGAGGCCATATTGGAGACACCTGGGAAGAAACATACAACTAAATCTGAAAGAAGACAGATTGCCAAAATAAAACAGGAAGTAACAGTATACAGAACACAGAAATGCAGACTTTACACAGGGAATGAAAAGTAAACTAAAACAAACAATACAAATAAACTAGGACAATAAATTGAACCCAGATAATATTAACCACTTTAAAGATCGCCTGAGGAAATAAAAACAACAAGGAAACATTTCAAAAATGTACAAAACTTAAAAATACCACAAACTCACCAAGATAAATTCAGAATTATCTTGGGTGACTGGAAAATGTTTGACAGTAATAGCTAAAACAAATGTAAAAGGAAATTAGATTACGAGGAGACAAAGTTGTATGTTGAAAATATACATTAGACAGAAATATGCCTCTTCAAGACATTTATAACATGTTTAGAACATATTTAGAAGAAATGGTACAATAATTGACTACAAACATAGACATTTTCTGAGAACTGGAAGGCGACCTGTGAAACCAGTTATACATACAGATAGAGAAGGACTTTTATCTTAGCTGCAACTAATGGAAAGCTGTCGGGACAAAACTAAGCTTAGCTAACATTTTCAAACAGCTGCAGGCTGAGCTGCTGATTATCAATGGCATTATCAGGACTAGTAAAAATTTACGACTAAAGGGAAGCATCTGATTCACTGCTCACATTCAGACCTCACTTCATGAGCGTTTAGCTTGTGGTTGACTCTGTATGAACAGACCTGATGTAAACTAATTCTTCATGATTCCTCCACAGAGTGGACCAGGAAAGCTCAGAGGTTGCCAGAGATCAGTCTGACCGGGAGAATCATGCACATCTGGACTCCATATTTAGGGTCTGTACAGGGTGTGAGGGTTACTCAGACCATGGCTCAGATTGGTGGGTGAATGGGATGTGGGGATGTGCCTGTGAAGGTTCTCAGTCATCCAGATCATTTTAGTCTAAGGAGCTTGGAAAGAAAAGTGTCTGGACTTCTTTAAGTTGCTTGAAGATGTTTCACTTCTCATCCAAGAAGCTTTTTTTTCAAATAGTGGAGAGTCCCAGATCTAAGCCTTTGAAAGAGTGACCTCTTTCCAGTGTTCACATTTTGGACAGAGAAGACAGATGGTTTGAAAGCAGAGTGGAAGAAGTCATCTTTGTCCACTGTGAACAACCATCTTCGAACAGAGACAGTCGCATACGACACCAACTGTCTGCCATCTATAATTCGGTTTTGAGATCTCTTCCCAGACGCCTTAACGCCCACTCACATCCTGGGCCATTTCACCTCAGGAATCACTTGGTAGGGTGAGGCTGGTTTCACAATGAGCTCACCCAAAACTTTGGCTGATCGTGACTACACCCAGTTTCACACCTTGGCTCATGTGATTAGGTAGAGTATAATTAGTTTTAGGTTTTTATCGGTTTTCAGCGTTATTTTGTTATCGTTTTTATCATTAACTCGGTTTTCCTGGGTCTTTTCACGTGTGTTATGAATAAATC